ATTACATAGAAATGTTCACAAATAGAAAAAATTTATTAAAGTTTGCTGGAAATTGCATACAACAACAACAACAAAATGCTTTGAATTGAGTTGAAAATTTAAAAAAAATGAACTTAGATAAACTTCTAACTTAAAAGGTGATTTTTGTTTTTTAAATAAAACATAATACAAAATATTATTGTAAATTTTTATAATAAGATTTTAAAAAGCAAAGATGGTCAATACTCCAATCAGCCAATCTGATTCTTATTTTAGTAATGAAAAGTCCTGCTACCAAGAATGCCCTTTCTGATTTAGTTGATTAGTAGTAATTCAAACACAACTTATTATTGTATTTATTTTCAGGCACTTGGCAATTTTTATCATCAAATTTTATTTAGTTGATATGTGTTGATATTATTTACACACATTTTGGGCATTTATTGCCCCTCCTTAGCCAACTTTTTAATTTACAGGTTATCAAGATATTAAAACCACAAATTTCCATCACCTATGTTTACTTGTTGTTATGGAATTACAAAAACTTCTTGGCCCTTAACACACTTTATTTTAAGAAACATATGGTTTTGTATTATCTAATTATCTGTTTTTCACTGTTTTAAAATTTAAACAATTTCAAATTTTTCTTATACATTTACAATTAATTTTTCAAAGTGCCAGATTTAGTTGATGTTAGTGGAATTGTCTTTAATGCATTTAAGAGAAGACAGATGTTATATGTTTTTTTCATTGTAGCCTAGGAGATTTTGAGTTTGTTTTCGAGATTGTAGTTCTTCTATTGATTTGTCTATCTCAGCTGCTTTAATAGCAGCATCAAGCTTATAGCCCGATAATTCGGCAATTCGTTTGGCTTTAATAATCAGGTTTATGAAGAAAAACCTTCATACTTGCAGACTTTGTACTCATTTGTATCCTTGCCCAATTTGCACAACCTGGTGTTACGCAGTTATCGAATCTACCGGGCATGGTTAAAAATTAAGACAGCATAAGCACAATTGTTCCAGATATTATGGGTTCCGACAAGTAAAGGATTTTCAGAGTCCTGCCACAAATAAGCTACGTACTGATTATTGACAATTTGTGACATGCCATAACAAACAAAATTAAAAAAAAACTAATAAGTAGGTTTAAAATTAATAAATACAAATGTATTCTGACAGTTTGTGAGTTAATTATACTTTCTATTTGCAAAATTTCCTTAACCTTAACACAAAATAAGAAAAAAGTGAATTTTTAAGAAATCTGCAGGATTTCCCAGGATGAGAAGAATTTCCTGGATTAAAAAAACAACCGGGATCCCGGGATCTCATTTGAGAAACTCTAAGTGATTGCTACTGAACAATCTAGAAGGAGTCTACATATATTTAAAGTTAATGTTAGTGAGTGAGAAAATGCATGGATGCTATTTTTTCAATTCATGGATGTGAAAATTCATGGTGGCAAAGTCAGTGTTCAGACAAGTGCTGTTTTTCACGAGTGTATTAGTAGTCAGCTTTATTTTGGACACGTATACGTTGATCTCTGTGCACTGTTTTATATCATGCACAGAAGTATTTAAAAACAAAAAAAAGATGTGGGCAATATTGGGCATGCCCTTTTGATTGTAACTGGCCTTCCTTTTCTTATTTCTGATTTTATAAAGTTCAAATGAAGTTTTTATCAATTCTGGCCCCTCACTAATTTGTACAGTCATTTTATTTATATCAATGTCCATTTTTTAAAATATGTAGGCACCGTACACCCTTTGGCAGGAACAACACTGACACAGTATTTCCTTGAAACAATATTACCATGTCCATCATTTTTCATGCTCGTCTGACAACCATAGTACGCAACAGTCATGCAATGTCATGAGATTATCATGGATGATCCAGTGGCCATTCATGGGGGTGGTCAGGTGGCCCCCATATGTTTTTGCAATCACATGACATCTGTCAAAAATGAGAGGTGAAATCACGCTTGTCTGACATTAGCTTGTTTGAGAGCTGGCCAGCACCTATTTGCTCTTTTGAAGGTTTTATTTTAAAATATTGAGTATTTATTAAAAAAAGATCCCATTTTTTAAATTTTGGCATATTATTGGTCTGTCATGATGTGATATGACTTATTGCAAGCTATCACATGACTGTCAGGTGACTATAGAATTATCATGAAAATTATTCTATAATGAAGTAGTTGTTGACTGAAAAATACTTGAATGCCCATAAAATCCTGGTGGAATCAAGACATGAAAAGTAAAGCTCAGCAAAAACATCTAAATAAAGGAAGCTTTTTAAAGTTGTGGCATAAGATTATTGGAAGCAGCTTTCACAATAAGACTCAACATGTGAATAAAGTGCACATTACACAGACTATAACTACAGGAAATTTTGTATGAAGCATTGTCTGTGATAATGCTTGTTCTCCTTTAAGACTTTGCTTTACTTTTTGCCTTAAAGTTCCTTCACTAATATTGTTCAAAGATGCTCTAATGTTCAGCCAAATTATTATAGGTGCAACAACTTTAAGGTGCAAAGTAAAGCTTGAAGTGTTGTTCACTATTCTGCAGGACTTCTTACTACTGGTTCTTTTAAATTTAGTTGCTAAACTACACTATATCATTCTTTTATTTACCAGTCTCTCATCTAACAACTTTCTCATCTGTATACATTCCACATAGCTATTAAAGGACATATGGCAAATTACATAAGGCATTGATATGTTTCACACTTTGCTATCTGGCACTCTTTGCTATCTACCAAATAAGTAGGAGTAAGAGTGGTCCTAACAATTAAGATACTGTATAGTGCTAGCAGTACTCTTGTGATAACATACAAATTGATAAATAGCCATTATGTCTGTCTATCTCATTGCTTGACATTTATTTTGTGTGTTAATTTTCATATAAAAATGTAAAAAAAATATATATATATGAATAGTTTTAAGTAATTTTATATTTAACTAGATAGGAATTTTATAAGATAAACAATATTACAATGTTCTGTTACATATCTTATTTTCTCTGTCAGTTGTATATCCAAGAGAAGATGTAAGTAATATTGAAATTGCAATATTACAGATATCACAAGTTAGATAAACAGCAAAATAAATTACTTGTTTTTGAATTTGTAAATTATATTTAGTTAGATCTTGCATAATCTAAAACAACAAATCTAATAGTTTGTTTTAGATAGTTACTTCCCAGTACTAGATTTATTTACATTACACAAGTTCAACTAGCTTTAAACTGATTAGGGGGAGAAAAACCTAGCAGATACTCAATCAATACTCTAACAATGGGTCAAAAATGTCAGTACATTTAACAACCAGCACAATTAAAGACACTTGATCAGTTATAATACGTATTAGTGACATACTAATTTACAAATAAACAGTCACAAACAAAATTTTTTTTAACCAGTAATTGAACTTAAACTAAACTTCCAAATGTTTTCGGCCTTCACCAAGGCTTGCTTCAGGTAATGAACTAAACTGGCTTCCAAATTGGACCATTAGAATGATGATGTTCGACTTTAAAAACTTTGTATATATCAAATTTCACGTGTCTGATTGACTCCAGTATTTCTGAGAAGAAGACTGTTATTTTATACTAATTTACAATGACGTTTTACAAATTCACAAATTTACAGTATTTACTTTATATTTATTTGCAAATAATTTTTAAGTAAAAGTAATCATTTATTTATTAATTATAAATAATATTTTTGTGGAGTGCAATTCCAATACTACATCAATATGATCATGCAAATTAGCAAGTTGGAAGGTATCTAGATAGGTGTTGAAACTTAACAAAGTAACCTCCAAAACTTAGTATAATAGAAATAAACAAGTAAAACGGTAAAACTGTATTTGGGACAAGACTGTCTTGGAGACGGAATCACTTTGATGCTCAAGGCAGGTCTCGTTCTCATTCTCCTATCTTTGATATCGCTGCTTTTGGGCGTGATCATTCAAACTTTGCTGGCCATGACCACAAGATCCTCCACGATGCATCTTCGATGAAATTAACATATCTAATTTCAAAATTTCTCTCCATTGTGTGTCGGCCCGGGTTGAATTTTTGTCGATGCGTAATGAAAAGTTCCCGTTTTTGAAAAAAATAATCGTGGCTATTGTATCGTCCAAATTATTTTTTTATTTTGCACAAACAATGTACAGTTTAACCCGATTATAATGTCATTGAATGTAACGACAACCCTAATATAATGTAAAATTTTTATCGGTCCTACAATTTTACTATACTAGATAATGTTAAGAAAAACCCACTTGTAATGACATAAAACTGTTTTAACGTCATATTTGAAGCACTCCCAAATTTACAAAATTAGATTACAAATTTTATTTAACATAGAAGAAACTATGTGTTCCGTCCTAAGGTCAGAGTTCACTTCTTAGAATGACTGTGGGTGGTACTTTCCCCTACCTGACTTTGGTGGGGTGAGGTGGCTGTTTTGCCTGTTTCTAGAAGAGGGTCACCATTTTGTATTTTATTTTGACTTGATTCTCGGTCCCCTGACTATCTACGAGTCTGGGTTTTTTTATGTGCAAATGATTTGGGCACCTAATACTCTGTGCCAAATATCAGCTCTCGACATGTACTCCTTCATACCTCTACGCTGGTAAGAACATTGGGCAGTACGATTTTATAAACAAGACATAGTCTTGTCAAAAATACAAATAATATAAGTAACTAATAAACAAATGATACTGCTGTATTTTAATCAGGCTATGATGATAAAAATAATACATTATTTGGACCAAAGATAGGTGGCTACACTGCTATTTTTTTTTTTTTTACAAAAGATAATGCTTCAAAGAGTGAGTAATTACATTCCCCAAACAAAAATCTCTGAGATAAAAGCAAAGATGATAAATATAGTAAAAAAAACATTAAAAAATAACAGAAAATAAAAACAAAAATAGCTTAAAGTAAGTGGTATGTAAAAACAATTAAAAACTAATGTATCTTATTTGATTTATTTAATCTTTGTTTACATAACATTTTAAAATTAATAAAGCAGTTTTGCAGAAGTGACATCGCTGTGTGAGCAATCCTTCCATCATTTTGCATGATAATATACATTGTTATGTGGCTGGAAATGTTAATAATGTTTTTTAATGGTGTCTTCTGGGGCTGAGAGGCACTTTATCACCTGACTTGAGTCCCTGTGACTAATTTGTTCTCAGAGATGAAAGCACCTCACTAAGGCAAGCAGTTCAACCATTTCATTTGGACTATCAACACATTAGGGTCTGCTGATGACATTTGACTTTCTTATTGATGACAATGGATAGTCAACAATGCTGGTGACTACACTGAAATCTTGTGAACTGCATAAGCTTGTGTGTTTATTTTATCTTGTATATTTCATTCTAAATATTATCAGTTTATTTATATCATTAATGTACAAGCATACTTATTTATTGTTGTCGATATTTATGATAATTTGTTTGTTATACTTTTATCATCTTTGTACTTTCTTTTTTTTTTTAGATTGGAATAATTGGTGGTTCAGGATTGGATGATCCGGATATTATTAATAATCGTAAGGAGTTGCATATTACAACACCATTTGGAAATGTAATATTTAAAAATAATCTTTAATAGTTAGTAATTTTAAATAAATAAATTTATGAAATGATATAAAATTATTTTTCAGCCATCCGATGTTTTGATAGAAGGAAAAATAAAAGACGTTGACTGTGTTCTATTAGCTAGGTAATGATTAGAAATTGTTTTAATACAAAAGGATTTTATTAATTAAAAATATATGAACTATACTTTAAATCAGTGTTTCTCAACCTCTAACAAATCGTTGCCTCCTTCAATAAAACCGTTCATAGTATCACTTCCTTCAATGAAACTGTTATGTAGTATTGCCTCCTTCACTTCAAAATTCCAATGCCAAGGGACAAGGCTAATGCCAAATTCGTAGTGCATTGAATAGACTAGTGACTAGTATAATGTTTTGTTTAATTATTGTACGATATAACAAATAAAATATCTAATTAATCTTAATATAATGTTTTACTATATTGCCCAGAAAATTATTTTTTGTCCCCCAAAATATAAATTGTTACTATCGCCCCCTCAACATGGAAAAATGCCCACATGGGGGCAATATTGCCCCGTTGAGAAACACTGCTTTAAATGTATGAAAATGTTACTTTACTTAATGAAGTTAAAACAGTCTCTTTTAGTACTTTAGTTACGTGATAACTTTTGTTATATGGTATTTAATATTCACCATGTATACATTTTAAATGAGCCTAATATAAGCCAATATTTAAAATAGTAACAAGTATGCTAAATTTACAAATAATCTTAAAACTGAACAATTTGTTACATATGATTAGTACTATAGGCTATCCCAAAAGTTATTGTACAGTTTTAACTTTAATAATTTAAGATGCATAAATGTTATAAACTTGCAATAAACACTATTTGAAAGCTTTAATAATAAAGTTTTTATACTTTAGTTTTGTGAATTTTCAGATGAACAAATTAATAGAAGAGGGTCTCTTGACTATTGTATTTTCCTAATCTAATAACATTGCCTTTTCTTTTTGTGGGTCACATGAAAATAGTTATCTATATATCATTCTTTGGATAATTTTAGAGTTATGATAACATTACTGAGCAACAACTAAATGTTTTCAGAGTTAAAAAATTGGCTTGAATAATGAGGTGTATTGGTTATGTGGTCAAAGGCTAAGAATGAACTTGTATTCATAAGTTATTAAAGTTTAAAATTGTACTAGGGTTTTTGGGATAGTTTATATTTTGTTCTGAACTACTTTCTAAGACTTTCTGCTGAATTATGCATGTGCTGAAATCATATTAACTTTTTTCAGTCTGAAAATTTTTTTCAAAAACTTCTGAACCTACAGTGTGTGATGTGTTAAGCAAAATTTCTTATATATTTTGCATTTTGTACACATTACTTTTTACTAGAATATGACCAGCAACATTCATAAATTTGCTTATTGCATTTCTCAAGAAAGAATGATGATGAAGATAACAATTAGCAAATCTCATTTCATATGAGATAATATCTCATTTTAGTATTACTTGAACAGGCATATTTATGAGTTTTTTGAATTTCTTAAGTTTCATGAAATATGAAAAATGAATGCAAAGTGAATGCTATGTATATCATAACATATCATGAAATCATTAATTTTGTTTCTTCCTGGAAGCTGATATAATGAGAAATTTCTACTATTCCTGTAGCACCCCTTGTGTCTAACATGTAAAGCTCTGTAGATGAGTATTTTGATATTTGTCTAGAAATAATAGTATTTTTTACACACAATATATAATGATTTGAGCTATAAATTACTGTTACAGATTATTTTTTGAGACTGTTTTATTTAATCAATTGTTTGTTGACTGATATTTAAAATTTTATTTCAGACATGCAAGAAATCACAGTATTATGCCTTCTAATATAAATTATAGAGCTAATATATGGGCTTTAAAAGAAGTCAATTGTACTCATATATTAGCTACTTCAGCTTGCGGTTCTTTAAGAGAAGAAATTCATCCTGGGGATTTAGTATTTCCTGATCAATTTATTGATAGGTGAAGTTTTAGATGTATTAAATTAAATGTTAATTTATTTTAAAAAATAGTTATTTATAATTATCTATAATACAAATCTTTCAGAACAACCAAAAGAGCTAGCACTTTTTATGATGGTTCTCCATCTTCTCCACTAGGTGTATGCCACATTCCAATGCACATGCCATTTTGCTCTGATACAAGAAAGGTAAAATAATATTGTTACAATTAAGTATTAAGATAAAATACATTTATTTACTTCCTAATTTCATAATAATATAAAATTTTGAATTACTAAAACTTTGCAATTAATCTAATTTCAAATTAATTTTAGTAATTATATTTTTAACACATTTATTTTTAATTAGATTATTCTGTGTAAAAAATTATTTTAAGAGGAGAAAATTATTGATAATATTCCATAGATAACTTCTATAGAATGGTTTATTGTTGTATAGCAATTATTCAATTATTGCTGTTAATTTCTGGTATAGAGTATAATCCAGGGCCTTTACTCCAAACAGGAAATTGCATTCTCATAGTATCAAGACATCTCAATTGAAAGTAGATCGTGTGTGTACAAGTGCAATATCTAGTGGCCCTCAATTTTAAAACTTATCAGAGATACCAAAGAACCACAAAATATTTTCTACTTGTTCAGGATTTCTTAAGACAGTTGAGTTTAAATTGGGATTTGTTTAAAAAAACCTGCTTCCTAAATAAAGAAAGTTCTCAAGGCTCAATATCTGGACTCCTACTCTGGAATGTTGTCTAAATGACTTGCTAATTAAATTATCAGACTGTTTGTTTGTTGGTTATAAAATCAGCTATATTGTTAAAAAATAATTATTGACAATTTGCCAAATTTTCTTAAAGCTCAGACATTTTTGGTTTTCACCTAGAAACTAGAATACACAATGCAAAAACCAGACAGGTGGCAACACATAGAATGGACAAAGCATTGTATTGGTGAGGATNGCTTTATAAAAGTATAAAAGCTCTCATAAAGTATTTTTCTGAGGTCTGTCTTATCAGGTAAATTACTGTACATAGTGTATTCATTAATTTTCATTTTCATGTAGTAAAGGCTCTATGCCTTCATAAAGGACGTACTTTTCCTTTGTTTAAGGGTATTTGGGCAGTTTATTCTCTGTTGTATTCTCAAGCAAACAATACAAACCAGTACAGTACAGTACAGTACAATATTTTCTGAGGAAACACGCATATTTATCTTTTTTTAACCCCATTCCCAATAACCCAGCATTTTCACAAACTCTGCCACCCTTCGGTCCACATTAGGCCGAATTTTCGAGGCTCTACTGTATCAAATTTTTTACATAGCCAAATCAATATAGCTGATCTTATTTAAATATTTTAGAATGCAAGTTTGATGATATTCATAAAATACTTTATGTTATAAACAGTGGTGTTCAAAAAATATTTTTTTCTATTATATAACTGATTAAAAAAATAATCAGACAAATCAATAATATACTGCTCAGAACAGAATACAGTGGTGCCTCATACTTCAAATTCAATTCATTCCATTCTAAGAGGCTGTTTGTAGCCCTATTCAATTTTTCCCATTAGAAGTAATGGAAAGTGAATTAATCCCCATTTCCATAAAGTTAAAACAGCAAATTTAAGGTAAAAATAACACAGTTAATTTCCTAATGATAAATTAAAACATGAAAACAGTAAATAAAATATGTAAGTACTATACAATAAATAAAATTGCATTTACTGGTCCGTCAGATCCGCCATACATGTATCACTTTCCTGCTTTGCAATAAGTTCCCATTTCAGATCAGTCATCAATATTACAACCTTTCTAAAAAATTGATGATTTTATATTCTTAGGGCAGTGTTGCAAATTTATGTAGATATAACTTCTTACATGTATTATGGCTGTAAGACCCTGTTTAATAACACTTATTACACCAAAACAAGGAGACTTTAGATTAAATGGAAATTAAACTTTTGTTTTCTTTCCTGTGTGCATTTTAAAATTAGTCCCTCATCAGCCATTACATAGATGTCCAACCTTTTTTGTAATTCATCCTATGAATAATAATTTTCATTATAATTTATGATAAAAAATGTTTTTTACTACAATAAAAACAAAACTGAATTTACATTTCCTGTATGAACTTTTACAGAGTATGTAAGTGTGGTTTGTTTTGTTTTCTTAAAACTCTTCCATTTCTGCATTGGATAAAATTTCCAGCTTTTGTAGTAGAATTTAATGTAAAATTCTTTGGAACATTGCAAAGTTTTACTGTAGTATCATGTCATTAATCATTACTAATAAACTGAGTTGCATCATAATTAGTCAATGCACTACTCAAAAGAATTAGGTGATATTGTAATACAGTAGAGTCTCGAAAACTTGGCACTCGATAACCCGGCACTCCGGATAACTCGGCCACACCTTGGCAGGGCAAAAAAATCATTAGTTAATTAATTTTCAGTTCAGTTTCCTATTAATTAATTAACTAATCCTTAGTTAATTAATTATAGACAGCTTTATAAAAGTATAAAAGCTCTCATAAAGTATTTTTCTGAGGTCTGTCTTATCAGGTAAATTACTGTACATAGTGTATTCATTAATTTTCATTTTCATGTAGTAAAGGCTCTATGCCTTCATAAAGGACGTACTTTTCCTTTGTTTAAGGGTATTTGGGCAGTTTATTCTCTGTTGTATTCTCAAGCAAACAATACAAACCAGTACAGTACAGTACAGTACAATATTTTCTGAGGAAACACGCATATTTATCTTTTTTTAACCCCATTCCCAATAACCCAGCATTTTCACAAACTCTGCCACCCTTCGGTCCACATTAGGCCGAATTTTCGAGGCTCTACTGTATCAAATTTTTTACATAGCCAAATCAATATAGCTGATCTTATTTAAATATTTTAGAATGCAAGTTTGATGATATTCATAAAATACTTTATGTTATAAACAGTGGTGTTTTAGAAATTACATTTCATATTTGCAAATTGTTTATTGTAATTTCAAAAAATATTTTTTTCTATTATATAACTGATTAAAAAAATAATCAGACAAATCAATAATATACTGCTCAGAACAGAATACAGTGGTGCCTCATACTTCAAATTCAATTCATTCCATTCTAAGAGGCTGTTTGTAGCCCTATTCAATTTTTCCCATTAGAAGTAATGGAAAGTGAATTAATCCCCATTTCCATAAAGTTAAAACAGCAAATTTAAGGTAAAAATAACACAGTTAATTTCCTAATGATAAATTAAAACATGAAAACAGTAAATAAAATATGTAAGTACTATACAATAAATAAAATTGCATTTACTGGTCCGTCAGATCCGCCATACATATCACTTTCCTGCTTTGCAATAAGTTCCCATTTCAGATCAGTCATCAATATTACAACCTTTCTCTTAGACGCCATGATTAATAAGTAAAAGTTACATATCATTACTAATGTGGGTTTGTATTCTTTGTTTAGAAACTTAATTTTTTATTCAAACAAAATGTGAATTAAAATAAGTTTATATCTTCAGATAAAAAGCTTATCAGGCATATAATGCTACACAAACAGTAAAAAAAAAATTTGTAATGTGTAAAAAGATTCCTGAACAGAACTTAAGGATACAAAACATATGGGGCATCCAAAAGCTGTTGAAGAAAAATTGCAGGAAGAAATTGTTAAAAATTGATAAATAACACAATATATATAACCAAACATATGAATGTTACACAAGAGTGAGAGATGACTTGGGCATACAACATATTGTCTTTACATTTTGACTGCCTTTTTTTTGCTGCATGCACAATGTGAACTTTAAAGCAAATTTTTGTTCAAGTTAGTCATTTGAAGTACAAGGTACTATTATATTAGAATAACAAGTTAATATTGCAATTTATTGTATTATTTAAATAAAATTTCATTGATAAAAAACTAAAATATTATTTGTTTTCAGGTAGTTCTTGCAAGGGAGATAGGAATACCTTATGCATTAATAGCAATGGCTACTGACTATGACTGTTGGTATAGCAGAAGTGAAGCGGTAAATATTTTTGTAATTGTATTTTAATCATTTCTCTGCTATTCTGTAAGAAATTTCTTTGGTAGAATTTAAATTTTCTCTAATATCTTATATATAATTTGAATTTAATACATTCCTACATGTGCTTTATTTAAGACTTTTGGCAATAGCAGATATTTCCTTTCCCTCTCTCCCCAATTAGTCCATTAAATCAAGGATTTACTGTAAAAAAAGTGGCATAGGTTACATTTATTTATTTTGTCTTTTAAAGCCATTAAAAATGCAATAGATTTATTTTGGATGCAATTGGTTAACATATATAAACCTGTAAATTAGTAGTTGATGCCAATAATTCAAATATTTAATCATCTTCTCTAGCTGGCAGGTAAGTATATCATCATACAGTTAAATAAAATGTATGTATGATGAAATTTGGACTTTTTGACAAAAAGCTCAGCCTTAAGGTTATAATTAAAGTATTATATTTGAATAGCAAAGGAAAATTCTTATCAAATGCCAAACAATATGTTACAAAAACGATTCTCTGTTAAAAAAAAAATATGAATTTAAAAACATAGAGAACATGGATGTAAGTAATATGAAATGTCTGTTACTTTCAACACACAAATAAAAATCAATTGATGTTTTTTTATTAATAAACAGCAAAATAATTATTTCAGGTTAGTGTAGAAAAAGTTCTGTCTGTGTTACAAGGCAATGTACATAAGACGACAAAATTAATTCTGAATGTTATTCCAAAAATAAATAAAGACGACTGGAGTGAAATTCTAGAGAAGCTAAAGGTAAATATTTTTTATTAATATTTTAAAATTAAAACTATATCTTTTAATTATCTTTATTACTGTTCTCAAAAAATTATAGTAGTATTTTTTGAGAACATTTCATTTTTATTAAAAATTTGTTGTAATCATTATTGTAAAGTGTGTTCAATCTATGATATGGAGATTACTGCATGCAGTAATTTTATATACATTTTCATTTACACTGTTAACTCTATTGCAATCCTTCTATCAGTGATTAATACAGACAAAGTTTACTTAAAAACCACACTGTTCTAATAAAGTAGTTAGGAAGTTCCTATTATATTCATGAAAAATGTATTAACCAATGAAAGTGAAATGTTAAATATGTTTTGTAATGTTATTTGGGGACAAGAATAGAGTGATCTCATTGGATTATATGTAATCTCCCTGTAAACTTTTCTAGTTTTGAGAAGGAATGCTCATAAAATGGAGTTACACTGTTTTATCTTCAGTTCTCAAATCTTTTGAACACAGTTTCATGTTTAAAGTAATGGTTCTAAATGAGGGAGTTATTAAACTGCACACAGATTATATAATCTAAGATTCAAAGCATTTTATGAATGCTTTAAATAAATGGAATGGCATTGTTCTGTGAAATATTCATATTATTTGTTATCCATAGCTAACACAACAAATCGTTTTTTGTGTTTAAATTTGGCATAGATGATAAGGAATTAGACAAACATGGGATGAGTGTAGAATGATAAACAAACAATTCAATTCTTTAGTGCAGAAGAAACTAGATTAGATATTTCACGTGAAAATTTGCATAAGTGTGTCAATTGGTGGGCAGATTAATAATGAACAACTGATTGATTCATTTATAACATAACTAATATTCACTTTTTTCTTTAACAGAATGAAGCTAGCTCTGCAGTTATGGTTCCTAAGAAATAATAGTAATATATGATGATAACGTTACATATTTAACATTTTTTTATTATTATTTGAATATTCTTTTTATACATCAAAATCAAGAATCTGCTCACAATTATTGTTAATAAATATAAACTTGTTATTCTAGATAAACTTTGAAATAAATTTCCATTTATATAACATTTGGAATGCTATTGTATTTCACATTATCTTACACAATATACATGTAATGATTTTTTCACAAATCTGATAATATTTTGGCCAATTAAAATCTGACAATAGAATGAATAAGATCCGTTAACATTTAATTCCGAATTATATGTTTCTCAATTACTTCTTTATCTAACAACTTGTTTTGGTGATTAACGTGAGCACTATCTGGACAAACCTTCCAGTATGTTAATATTAATTTTGAAATATACATACGGATAATATTCTTGATGCCCTAGATTTATTCCTGGAATATCCTGTTAGAAATAAAAGTACTTTGTTATTCACTTTTATATTACATAAATATGTATTTATTGAAACATGACTTATACATTATTGTGCAGAGAAAATTTATTGAAAACTACTTGCTTTCTGAATTTTTCTATGAGCATATTTGTTATATTTACTGTCAAATGTAGAATTAAATTAGATGCCAATTTGACAATAATAGACATTGATGAAACATATTGCGATTTTCCTAAGATTCAAATGAAATGGAATCTTTCCATAGTAATTCAAAAAGCAATAATGCCAACAGATTAAAAAAATATTTTAATTGAAAATATAACACAGAATTCACTAAAAAGAAAGGAAAAAATAAAATAAAAATGCTGCATTTGGAAAAGTTTATTTACTTTCAGAGTTTTTTCTCAATTGTTGGGCCAGGTCAACTTTACATTTACATTACGGAAAGTATGGAAAATATGTGGAATTATTCACATAATTAATTATAAGTGCTCTTGAAGGTCTCAAAGCAGAGAGAAACATGATATAGACACAGAAAAATCAAGCAATAGTTATTAATTTAAGATCACCATTTTCATAATTACATCAAAAATCCAACCAGAACCAAAGAGTGAAGATCATTTGATTATCTCAAGAAGCAATCACCATAAATAACAATATAGAAATAGAAATCATAAAATTGCAGGACAAACTGACAGCAACCAAATGATTACATTATCATGTCAATACTTTTTATCTCAGGCATCATTTCAATGAATTATATATCCACGCAGTTCCATATTTTATAAAGTGAGCTTTCTCAGTCTGAAAAAAAAAATATATTTTTTTTTCACAAATTATAAAAATGGATTCAGGAACTTTTTGAAGATTTACATTTAAAGAGTAATCAGTTTGTATAAATTTTATAGGATAAAAACTATAAAATAGCATATGGAATGAAATAATATAAATAAAATAAACCTTTAACTATCCAGCAATAAAAAAGAATTAGAGCAGTGAAACACCTTGAAAAGGTAGAGATGCAGAAGTATTATCTTATGCCTGGAAATCCTTTTACAATAACGCAGATTAACACCTTGTAATCAACGTATATTCTCTCCCCCTTTTTTTTGGCGACTTTTGCAAATAACATAAAAATAATAAAGTCGCCAAAAAAAAGGGGGGGAGAATATACGTTGATTACAAGGTGTTAATCTGCGTTATTGTAAAAGGATTTCCAGGCATAAGATAACCCTTCTGCATCTCTACGATTAATGCATCCCTTATTTATGTGTGCCTTGTGTATCTCTATCTTTTCAAGGTGTTTCACTGCCTGTCTGGAATTCGCAGCTCTAATTCTTTTTTATTGCTGGATAGTTAAAGGTTTATTTTATTTATATTAGCATATGAAATATTAAAAGGGGAGAACTGGAAACAAGTTTCATTTTCTTACCAACATTTTTTCCTCCAAAAGTATATACTGATTTGTAAAAAGGAAGAATAATCAAATACAGCATTTACTATGACACAATTATGATTTCAAAATTTTAAGTTTAGCCTTGATTAACTTAAAATCTACATCTTGTTTAACTTCTGGATTTTGTTACATTTTATTCAAAATTATGGATGGTATAGGGAGAAATAACTCACACAAGAAAATATTATTACATAAATATATGCGAAAAAACCTTTACGTATCTTATTTCTATTGAAAGTTAATGAATTACAATTTCAATGTATTTTTTGAATATCACGTGAAATTTAAGCTAAGGCTAAGTTAGAATAAACAACACACACTAAATGTGGTTTTTCACCAAAAAATAAAATTTTTTCACACAGGGGAAAAAAACTGATTGGTCTGTAATGTTTATTATTCTTTCAACAAATATTTTAATTTTAAATCTTGTTTTTAAACTAAAACAAACAGAAAAACTAAAAATCTAAAAATGATAAAAGGCAGATAGGGTAAAAAATGAAATCAACAGAGACAAAGAACTTACACCATCAATGGCATTCTTTTTAAATGTAACTTTGTGGAGTGTAGAACTATGTGCAACATGACAACAAACTTTAACCTTTATCATAATGTTGAGCATTTTATATGTCATCATAACAGAATTATTTCATTGTATACTTAAAATCTGATTTGGCAATGTAATATTAAATAATAAATGTAGAAAAACAATGACAATTTTAAATACTAATAATAATAATGTTAAAGTTTTAAAGTTACTTTTTTTAGTATGAAAAATAATTTTACTCACATCAATTGGTCCTTGTGCTATGCTTGTGTCCAAGTGGCTATAATGATGATTCAAAACTTCACGTAATTTTCGCATAGTTTTTTTATTTGGTTTTAGCAACATAGCTTGAAAATTTACTGGAAGACCATATCTATAATCATAAAATAAAAAGGAATAAAGTTAAAGAAATGGGGCAAGTAACTATAAAGCATAGAATTAAAATTTAATTATTATAAATGCAGCTTGCTATATTATCTTTAGCCACCTGGTTGGCACATCTCAACAAAGAAACTGACTCCAACATCTGCGAAATGCTACTACTACTACTACATGGCATTACAGCCCGTGTAGGGCCTTGGCCTCTCTGACAATTGCAGTCCAATCTTGACGATCTTCTGCATGTTTCGTCCAATCGCTGACCCCCATCTTCCTCAAATCATCCTCCATGGTCTTCCTCTATAGATCTTCATGGCAGCTCTTATCATCTGACATTCACTCAACATGCACCAACCATCTCAGTCTGTTACTCTTTATTTCCACAACTATTTCAGTATAACCATACAGTTCTATCAATTCACTGTTTTTCCACATCCTCTATTGCCCTGCCTCACACACTGCCCCAAATATCTTCCTTAGAATTTTCCTCTCCCATCTTCTCAAGTTCCCCACAGCATATATGTACAATATGTTCATTGTACATATTTCCAAACCATACATCACACCGGTCTAATAACTGTGTGATAAACAGCCACCTTCAATCTTCTACACAGGCTACAGGATTTAACAATTCTAATCAGGGCCCAATAAGCTCTATTTCCTGCTGCAATCCTTGCCTTTATCTCTTCTTCTAAGTTATCATTAGTTACCAGTACTCCCAGGTTCTTGAATTTCTCACATCTATATATATATAACCCATTCAACAGGTGTCCATCCTTCCGTCCGTCCGTCCCGTAACCGTTTGATAACCGACACTAGAGGCGCCCCACCATGTTTGAAATATGACACACTATCGTGTGTCATATTTCAAACATCCAAATTAACAATTTTAATTCTTATTTAAATTAACACTATGAATTATTATTATTCATTTGTCCAATAAATTATTATTTGGTCAATATAACAATATAAATAATTCAGTATATTTGTAATAGGAATTTATTATTTCAGGGGCTTATATCTCGCGAAGGGTAGCGAGTAGGGGTATGGTTCCTTTGCCTTTATTGTTTGCACAGGGGGCTACAGTTTGGGGGGGTCGCCACATCTTCACCTAATTTTACCATTGGGACTTTAACAGAGCTGTAGAGCATATTGATAGGAACAAAAAGGAACCGTGCTTCATGGAAATTTGTAAACAACGCCCACTAGGGGGAGTCCCGGGCTACTAGTCTTACATAGTTGACACTGTTTAACTTGATGTATTTGTCTTCCCTCACAGCAACTTTCCTAGACAAAAGTAAGTACTGCATTTTACTGTGGTTCACATGAAATCCCAATTCCTCTTCCTCACTTTCAAATCTATCCAATCCTTCCTCCAGCTCTCCCAGGCTACAGGACAGCATAAGATCTGTTCAACTGTGTTAGCCAATACCACAGTTGAACAGATTGCCAGTTGGTGAATTGCCTGCTACCCCTCTAATAACTCTCCAGAACTACGTTAAATAGCAGTGTGGATAATACATCACCCTGTCACAAACCTTGATTAATTTCAACTACTTTAGTGAGGTTGCCCTCTACTTTGACTTGACATTTCGTGCTGGTGAGAGTCATTTGCACCAATCTGATAATTTAGATAGAAACTCCATATCTATCAAAGTCTGGTACAAGGACCTCCTTTTCACATTATTGTAAGCCTGCTGAAAATCCACAAAGAACTGGTGAACATCCACATTAAACTCATAGCACTTTTCCATTATTTGCTTTAGAGTGAAGATATGATCTGTCGTTGATCTACCTCCACACTAGTTGTCACTCAGTCTCTCTTCTACTAGTGGAGTGAGTCTCCTTGTCATGCTCTTAGTACTGTGTATAAGATCTTAGCTAAGTAAAGATATTAAAGATATACCACAATAGTTTTCACATATTGCTCTGTTACCCTTCTTATGAATGGGGCATACAATGGCCAGCCTCCACTAATCTGGCATCTCTTCCTTTTCCTATACTTCCACTATCAACTGTGAACAAGGAATGACAACAGTTCACCCCATACTTAATCATCTCTGCTGTAATATTATCACTCCCTGATGCCCTATTATTCTTCAGGTCCTTAATTGCCTTCTACCATCAACAGCATAATACATTTGTAAATTTCTAAAAATAATTACCCAAGTTGCATTTGGATTGTTATCCACATAAGGATTTATATAAGCCATTACTTCCCTCAACAAAAGTATGTCATGACAATAGAAAAAACTCATTGAAAATGTACTACTATTATATTGTATGGTAAGAGACGATGCTAATTAAAGTCAAAAATAATTATTTAGTGTTATTAAACATCCTCTAAATATTTTAAAATAGTTTAATTTGTTTATTTACCTTCATTGGCTATCTTTGTCGTTCTTAAATGTTTCTGCATTTTTCAACAATATCCCACGAATCAGTGCGCAATGTGAATGGGTGGCAACATGTTTTACTTGGAGTTCAAACGTCAAACGTGTACTTCTGCTTGCCATACAAATTTAAAGTTTGAACTACGGTCGCAACCTCTATAATGTGTGCCTCCATTGTTCAAATGTAAAATTTGAAAGTGATGAATAATGTGTTCTACAGCTGACTGCAACTGCTCTCCAGTGATACTTTGCATGTGCAGTATAATATGATGGCTTAAGTCTGATTTATCATGGAAATGTTGCAACTTTGATTGCATAGTTTGGAAGATGCAAAAGTATTCCCTACTGAAAGTTTTTAACTAAAATTTTTTCTTTGAAAAATCCTTTTCCATATCCTTTGCATAGTCTGCTTACAAATTTTGATGTCAATTCACTTATTGGTTATAGCTACAGAGTACTCTGAATAGAAAACTTTAATTATGCCACCTTGTATATTATTAACATAAGCAGCAACTTTGTATGAGGATTCAGAACTCTTACTCAAGTAATATTTACAGAAATAATTTTACTTCTTTATTACAAATTACATTACAAGGAAACACAAGAATTTTATATTGTAAGTATTAATCAGTTTCTATCAAAAGCAGAGGATGTGACAAAGATGACTCATCAATACAACTGCACCTGATGTTCAAACTCATATTAGAAAAAATTAGAAAATTCTAAATTCCATTGCCATATGTTAGCAAACTTGTGAGGTCTAAATTCAACACAGTTTATTGTTGGATTATCAGTATGGTTATCAAGTTATTGACAAAGAGCCATTTTATAGAAATTGCCACTATCTGAAGAAATTTGTCATATTACTCATCATAAAAAGGAGATTAAAAACTGTCATTAAAAATTTCCTTTTCTTTTTTCTTATACTCAAATTAAAGTACTAAATCAGTTATATAATTTTTGGTGTTTGTCTTCTAATAACTTGAAGAAATGGCATTCTTGTCCATTTCTGTATTCGTTTCATCAAAGTAAAAAAAACAAAAGACCACCACCAGAAAAATCCTGAAAGACACACTACCTTAGTGAAATTAGTTGAAGTAAGCTAAAATTTATGTAAATTTTCTCTCTTCCATTATGCGTTTCAGGATAATTTAGTTTAAACATAGATTTGATTAGTCGAGTTTGGGTGTAGGTTACAAGGCCTTCAGTAGGCCAAGTACCACCAGGTCTAGACATTTTGATATTTGAATACTCTTTTAGAGCTCTGAATATAGGTTTATTACCTGAAGATATGGCATAAGAAATTGAATTTGTCATTGTCTGGGAATATTTGTTGTTGGAGATAATCTTCTCAGGCTGTTTTTTTTATTGGGGTCATTTTAGTATTATGTCAGACTAAATAGAATAAGACAAGTTGGGCATGCTGGTTGGATATCCTTTGTTATCAGATAGCTGTGTGTTATGTGTAACTGTCCTAGGTTCAGCAAGTACAATTTTTTCTTTCCAGTTTTTCCATTGGTTAGTTGTCCATTTTGTTAAGTCTGATTTTATAGTTTGTTATTTAGCTGCTTGTCCCATTCCTCTCACCATTTGTCATATATGTATTTGTTTATACAGTTAAACAATGATAAATAATATTAAAATCAAAAATGTTATTTTTTCTATTATAAAGTTATAAATAAACTAACATAAATCTTGATTGGAACCATACAATATTTATCTTTCACAAAGTTTGTCAAAATTTACTTTTGAGGTTTTGAGGTAACTGGCCATGACTTTCATACAGGCTCTTGTATATAACTATTACAATTTTCACACTTGCTACAAGTGGAATAAAATATATTATTAAATAATATTATATTTTCATTTATCTTAATGTTGTATGTACATGAATATATCAAGTTCTGAAGCTCTAGCATTATGTTATTTGTTTTGGTCTGATTAATTTCCATTAGTATATGTCCTAAACAGAATATGATAATTTTAAGAAAATTATCAAATTATTTCTGTTTAGAACTATTAAAATAAAAAAATATATATCTGGACAACAATTAATTATATGAGTTGCTGGATTTTAAAGTAGTTTAAGTAGAATACAGATTAATTTTTATTTTTCTCTCAGGAAATATAATTACAATCTTTAAATTTTATTATAACTAGAAATCTAACAAAGTTTAAAGAGTATGTTTGAAATTTAAAGTGAGCTAAATTATTACAGTAAAATCCACTTATTACAATCATGATCATTTAATGTTATCAAAATTATTACATATCAAGACATAGAAGTTAAAATATACTTATGAACTTCAAAACTTCACTTCTTGTAATCATCATCTTCAAATAAGTATTTTTAACTAGTCTTTAAATGCTATCAGCCACATCATATGGTGGATAACATGCAACTGTTATAGAATCAGTGCTTTAAACATTTATCAGTTTAATTGTTATTTGCTTGCAGTATAACAGTTTAAATTGCTGGTATTTCTTATCTCAGTTATATATTAGCCATAAAGATATTACTGCAAAAAATAAAAACTAGCAGCAGCTAAGCAATATAGGATAAATTACTATTAATTAATAATTATAATTAACAAATCTTTCAAATCAAAGACATATTAAATAATTTAGAAATGTACGTCTTTTTAATGCCAGAGTCAATAAAACCAGAATTTCCACTAATTGCAGTCTTATTTATTTACCTCACTTGGTTATCATCATTAATATGGATCAGTCCCAAATTGATTGCAGTAAATGGATTCTACTGTATCACATTTTAATTTTAAGTTTTGAAAAGAAGATAATACTTAAATAACCGAGCATAAGAAGCCTTATTTTATTATAAAAAGTGAAACTCACCTCAACACAGATTCTACAAACACACGCAAGGCTTTTACATGAATCCATGCAGTAAAAGCTTCACTGAAATTTACCTTCAGCCATCTTACCAGTTGACTCTAAAACAAACAAACAAACAAACAAAAAAGCTACTTTAGGCAATTAATTTTAAAAATAAAGTTTTTGAGTAGTTTCTTTATATGAAATGGTAACTTTCTAAAATGAATTTTTTATGATTTCAAGTGATAAATACAACAAAATCAGAATTGCAATCCCTTATGCAGCAACAGCTTTCAACAAAAATAATTCTATTCCATTAAACCAATTGTTAACGATGTGGCTTCTATTAATTTCATGCATTAAAAAGAATTATAACTGTAAAATGGATAAGGTTTAAGAAATCTTCAATGAAAGATAAATTAGAAATTGTTGATAGAAGCTAAAGCTTCTATTCAAGTTATAATTAATGCACAAGTCATAATTAATATTTTAGAAAGAACTTACATATTGTTTCTTTTTATCACTCTCTAATTGTGCAAGTGCATTCTTTCCTTTTGCTAATTCCTCCTCACTGTAAGTAAAATCTCTTACACTGAATCTGAAAACAATAAATATATAATACTTTAATGTTATTTTTCAGAAACAAAACTGCAGTCTTGAAATTTAGGCTTGTAAATGAAACTTAAAAAAAAAAAAACAAGTTGGTAGTTAAAACAGCAATCTTGATATAATGATGTGATCATATGTTTTAACACAAATATTAAAGACATTTTTTAAAAAAACAATGCCTAAGATAACTGATGATGGATAAAGTAAAGAAAGAAGCATGTGTTTATGATGCTAAATTGTAAAAAAATATCGAGATGATGCATATAAAATATCATCCATAAATTATTTAGTTCAAATTTTTTAATTTTTTGATCCTCTCTTTCATTTTGACAATTCATAATAAAATTCACACTTTCATAATTGTGTGAGACTCTGCCTTGTTTGTTTACTGCTTAACCTAGATTTTTAACAATACCATTTTATTAAACTACTGTCAACTTTCACACCTGGGAGTTAATCACTGGACAAATTCTCAGTGACTAAAAAGACACTTTCTCATAACCTCACGACCTATTGTTGCAAGTTTGTCAATTGAATATATCAACAGACCGATTTTTGAGGCAGTCGTCCTTCATCCTATAAACTGTAAAGTCGCCCGTTTTCGAAACTTCCGGTATGCTGTCTCTCTCTCACTCCATCTAGAATCAGATCGCTCAGTAACGCGACTGCTTGCATGACCTACTTCCGAACCGCTGCAGCTTCCGTGTCACTCAATACATGGTGGTGTCAATCATGACGAGACACTAAGAAGGTGCTGACCCTTCAGTCACAATTGCTTTGTAACAATATAAATTCTCTTAATTTTTAAAAAAAAATATTTATAAATTATTCCATGAATTACGTTTTTAAAAACTAAATAAATTATATAAAATTTAATTTTAAAACTTTATTATTTCTCTCTATATATAATTATTTGTTAGGCATAGTTCATTTTCTTACTAAACACAAAGAGAATAGAGTCAAAGTGCTAGCAAGCCAATAAGTTACTTTGTTTTGGGCACATCAAAATAATATTATGGATGTGAATATAAAGTTAAAAAGAATAAAGAAAAATTATGCATGCTCATGCTAATGGTTTTGTCTTTTTGACTCTACTGTACATCAAAAACAAAATCACAAACCCCTATTTTTATTACATTTTTAATTTCCTCATCTCATATTATTTAAAATGACAAACTTTAGTCAAATTTTGAGAATAAACTAAATTCCATAAGCCTCATAAAAGATGTTTCACTAATACTCTGACTCAACCAAAAATACTGTAATTGTAATATGAACAACTTATCATAAAAGTCAAGTGAAGAGAACAATGTAACTGAAATATGTTTTGAGTGATAAACAATTTTTGTAAAAAAGAAAATGCGTATAAAAATGTTAAATCATTAATTAAATAAAAAGGTATAACCACTTATGATAAACCCAAAAATTATTATATTAAAAATGTTAACACAAAATTTAGAGATACAAAATAGAAAGGCAAGAAGTATTAAACATATATTAAAGACATTTTGATTGTGTTAATTTGGAAATTCAAAGTTTTAACATTATCATAATTATATTGTTATAATAACTATATTACAGAATATATGTACAGTGAAACCTGCTAATGTGACCACTTTAAGCAGGTCACATTAACAGTGTATATACCATTTATCTCGGCAGATAAGACGATAGTTGAATCATATTCATAAAGGCCCCCCAAAATCCAGTTGTCTTATAGGACAGATACAAAAAAATTAGATTGAAATTTATATAAATTAAAACCATTATAAAAAGACAGACAAACCGTAATTATTTACTAGAAGAGAGTAGGGTATGTGCACAAAATAGAATAGCCCATACAACATTTTTGTGAATAGTCAAGGTCATTACCCAAATGCTGAATCAGTGCTAATGTTTGCAACAATTGCAAGGCAGTGCTGCCAGATGCAAGAAAATCAAATTTGTTAATTCGAAAAATTACAAATAGGACATAATTCTGTACACACTGTACAGCATTATTATTCAGATGATGATTGCTGACCTAAACTAAATTCATAGGCTGTTGATAGTTTGGGGTCATGGACAGATATATGCTAAAACTATAAAACTTTGACAAAAATTTATACTTTGTCTTATCTGCCGAGGTATACGGTTTCACTGTACACACACACACAAATACAGATTTGTTAAATTATTTTAGTAACTTTAAATTTATATTTGGTTTTCATTAAAAATATGCTACATTTAAATTTTCAATTTTCTTGTGTTAATCTAAATATATAAAATTACTTGTCCTGACTGACTGACTGATTCATCATCGTCCAGAGCAAACCGCTGAATCTGAAGTAGTGAAATTTGGTACACAGTTAGGGTACGTCATGAAAACACACACTAAGGGATTTTTCGAAATTCCCCTGCGGGGGGTAAAGGGAAAGAATTAAGGCTTAACTGGAAGAACGGCTTCTACTGTACTATTTTAGATGCGATTTTTTGTTTTCAACTATGTTTAGTCTTCATTGAGCACTTAGGTGTATTAAATTGATAACATTTCATTCATTGTTATAAATATTTTTTATATCACGATTTTTTAACCAAATGTTCAAACCGTTTTAAATTTGAATTTGTTATTGCATATTGGTTCAATTATAGAATGATTGTAAATGTTCCAGAAAATTGATCAAATTGAAAATAGTTCATTTGATTCTCAGCAATTCTCATCATTCTCAGCGGTAGGTGCTATATAACAATTACTATGGTTGTTGAAATACTGAATATAAATGGGGTTTGCTTGCAAAATCTTTGCGAGCAAAGCTGCGGGTAACAGCTAATCTTATAATATAATTGAGATGGATTGATAATAACATTAAGCCCAGAACCCAAATGGTTAGGAGTTGAAAGTTAAAATTTGATACACAATTAGGATATGTCATGAGAATGTACATGAAGGGATTTTCCAAAATTCCTCCTCTGCAGAGAGAGAGAGAGGGTTAAGGATTACCCTGAATCTTACTGTACTATTTTAGATGCAGTTTTTTGCAGGAAATTGAACATATTTTTAGACCCATCTAAAAATTCTCTAATTAGTCTCAGAAGAGGGTTAACCTAATTCTTGCACCTGGTAAAAACAAGCAAGATTGGCTATAATCTAGTCATCTTAATCTTCACTAGCATTACTTTTTGCTTGAGCAACACTGGGCAACTGAGCAACTGAGTTCATCTGCTAGTTTAATATAAATACAGTGGTACCTCAGGTTACGAACGCCCCAGCATACGAAATTTTCAGGATACGACATGAAATTCGAACATATTTTTGCTCCACGATACGAACAAAAACTCACCATACGACGTTACATTAGTTCGCATTTTTCATTTGTTTTTCTTACTACAGTTATTTTTTTTAATGTATTACTTGGCTTTAATTTGAGTATGTTTTTCGCGTTGGAACGAATTATTTGGTTTTACATGTAATCGTATGGGAAAAGATGATCCACCTTACGACATTTTCATGATACGATCTCAGTTTCGGAACGGATTAATTTCGTATCCTGAGGTACCACTGTATAATAATTTAAAGTTTAATGAAAACTGAAGATTTAATATATAATTTAAAAATTTAAAGAAATGTTTAAAAAATTTTCACAAGAAATTAACAGAAGAAAACACAGGCATTCTTCATCTTTTTTTATCCTTTGTCTTTTTCATATCACAGGTACTAGTTTTTACTAGTTTTATTAATGTTAATATATGCATATTTAGGATTTTAGCCATTGCAAAAGGAAAATTTATTTTATACGTTTTATATATTGAGGTGGATAAGAGCCTATAATAAACGGTTGACTCCAATGTAATACTGTTTATTCCTGAGGTGTAAAAAGAATGAAGGATGAAGAATTCCTGTGTTCTGTTAATTTCTTGTGGAAATTTTTTATGAATTTCTTGTAATTTTTTAAATGTAATTGTTGTCCTGTCTATTTACTAGTTTTATTAAATTTAATATTAATTTACCTTTTTTCTCTAGCAACTCTTTTAAATTCTTCAACATCTTTAATAAAGAGAGTTACATTAAACAAACCATGTTCACCATCTTCATAAATTAATCTGAAAGTAGAAGTATTTCAATTAAATTTAAAATTTTTTTAAAATGTTGTCTCAACCCAGATACAGCAGATGAAAACAGTTATATATATAATTATATTGATAAACTGTATAAAAAGAAATTATAAATGCGAGTTCAAAAAGACTAAGTTAAATAACTATCTTCTGTTTTCCAGAATATGTCTAAAAATTAAATTTATTCTCTTATCTTGAGAAAAAAAAAACCTGATACATATAATTATTTGATAAGTAAACCAAATATATACTGACAAAATTGGCAAGAATTTGAAAAGCATGAAGGAGAGTTTATAGAAATATATAGGAAATACTATAAAAATAAATATATATAACTATAATTACATATAGTTATATATGTAATCATACATAAGTGATCAGTATGATTATATCTTCTAAATCAGTGTTTTTCAACCTTCTTGAATACACGACACCTTTACAAGTTAAAAAATTCTGGCGACTCCCCAGGGCCATATTTAAACTACATCAGTGATTTTAAAAACTACGTATTTAATTTTCTTTCTTTAAATATCGATCAAAAAACCAATTGTATTGTAAAATAAACAGTCACAGCCTTCGTACTGAAATTCTAGTTTTTTTTTATTGTAGTGTAGGACCTATAAACACTTGTCTTTTTCTTTTACCCGCAAACCACCGGGTAAGGCTTTGCGACCCTCCCCCCCAGGTAAGGCTTTGAAAAACACTGTTCTAAATTAATTGGTTTAGAACAGTGTTTCTCAATCTCTAACGAATCATCACCCCTTCAATAAAACCGTTACATAGTATTGCCCCCTTCACTTCAAAATTCCGATGCTGAGGGCCAAGGATAATGCCAAATTCGTACTGCATTCCGGCAATACCTACGAGTGGCCCTGGGNTTGGTTTAGAACAGTGTTTCTCAATCTCTAACGAATCATCACCCCTTCAATAAAACCGTTACATAGTATTGCCCCCTTCACTTCAAAATTCCGATGCTGAGGGCCAAGGATAATGCCAAATTCGTACTGCATTCCGGCAATACCTACGAGTGGCCCTGGGTCTTCATCCCCTTTAAGCTAGAATGCATTGAGTAGACTAGTGACTAGTATAATGTTATTTGTTTAATTATTGTACGATATAACGAATAAAATATCTAATTATTCTTAATATAATGTTTTACTATATCACCCAGAATATTGTTTTTCGCCCCCCCAAAATATAAATTGTTACTAATCGCCCCCTCAACATGGAAAAACACCCCCATTGAGAAACACTGGTTTAGAAGAAGTGAAGATCACATGAAGGTCTGGGTAGTATAACTGGTAATACATCTTATGGTAAGCAGTAATTGAAGATTGGGTCCTGCTCTGGCCAATCTTTTCTTTCAGAATATTCTAAATTAAATGAATTTATTTCTAATGATTAAGTTTAACACAAGACAGCAGCTGAATCATCTATCTCTAATCCAAATTACTTATTATCTTACTCATTAATTATCCATAATATAGCTTGATAAGAATCTGACTGTATTGTTGACAAGACTATGTCTTGTTTATAAAATTGTGCTGCTGTCAACGGGTACATACCTTAGAGGTATGAAGGAGTTACAATTTGGCACAGAGTATTAGGTGCCCAAATCTTGCGCACATAAAAAAATAATTAGACTTGTAGGTACTCAAGGGACCGAGAACAGTCAAAATAAAATACAAAATGGTGACACACTTTCTACAAACAGGCACTAGTGCAAGATTTGCACATGCATTGCTTGTTGGAAAATTTGAAATGCGAATGTTGCAAAATTGAATTTTGACAAACAAATCTTCGAAAAAATCCATTTATCCATCCTGTGTTATTCCCGACATATCTCTGGTCACGACATGCTGACCTTGACCAACTGACCCAAGATTTTGAACCTAGATGGCACTAGTTGTTATAATTTTATATTATAAAACTAACTTCTAAAAGATAATAAATGTAAAAAGAAAAAAAATTAATATATTTATTTTGTTTGTGCAAAATAAAAAATAATTTTGGACGATACAATAGCCAAGATTATTTTATTCAAAAATGGGAAATTTTCATTAGGCATCGACAAAAATTCAACCTGGGGTGACACGCAATGGAGAGAAAGTTTGACATTGTATAGGTTAATTTCACCGTAAATTCATCATGGATGACCTTGTGGCCATGACAGAGACCGGCAAAGGCTGATGCAACTGAAAAAATTCCCAATTAAATGAACGATTACAATAATTCATTAATTTTGAAAGTGAGGCAAGTCCATTTAGTTATAATGAAACTCTTACTTTTTTTAGTCAGCACTGTAAACACTATTGAATTATAAACTTACATTATCTGGTACCACAAAATATTAAAAATATATCTATTAATACTTACCAATATTTTTAAATTTATTGAAATGCAAACCTTTAAATATCTCGCAATAACAAAAATTGGACTTGCCCCATTTTCAAAATAAACGGCTCATTTGTAAGTTCCTTCAGCACTACCAGGATGCAATTTTTTGCAAGAGACTACACCTGTGATGATGAAATACTTGGAAACTTCATCTTCACAATGATCTCTCTCTCAATGTATCCAATTCAGAAGTTTCTTACCAAGCATAGAATACCATAGGT